CATTGGATAGCTTCCCAAAGTAATGGTCTGGAGGGTCCACAAAACAGCACAGGCTATTGCTACTGTCCTTGAGTGCCCATCAAAACTAGACAGCAAACAACAGAGCAGGGCACAGACTGATCTCCAAAACACTAGAGTAAAACAAGCTGAGTATCCATCAGAACCAGATATTCTGAAATCACCCGACATTTGTTGCAGAAGACAACACGACACCGGTTACAGGACAGAGAGAACTCTGTGTGGGTTTGGAGAACTTCCTATGGCTAGTCTTCACAGCTCCAGAACACAGTATGCAGGCTGCTAAAAGACAACAATGGTATTATCCAATTGTAAATCCTGAATGCTACAACCCTGCCCGGGAAGATGCACACACTGGTGCTATGGTGGCATGACCATTATGGGGGGATAGTCCCCTTTGTGATTGGGCTTGAGGCCTGCTCCAGGAGAAATATATGCTGGATACTGAACAGCTGGTCAAAAGTCTATAGCTACAAAGGGCATAGGCAGGGGTAGTTATTGTTTCAGTAAATGGTCCTCAAATGGCATATTTTTCAATTCATTTATTTATTATGCATACACATGCCAGAAGGGGACACCAGATCTTATTACAGATGGTTGTGAGCCACCATGTGGTTGCTAGGTGTTGAACTCAGGACCTCTGGAAGAGCAGTCAGTGCTCTTAACCCCAGAGCCATCTCTACAGCCCCATAAAGGCATATTTTTTAAAAGATTCATTTATTTATATATGGGTGTGGGTGCCTTCTTGGGACAGAAAGGGTTATCAGATCTCCTGCAACTGTAGATATAGACAGCTGTGTACCACCTCATGTGGGTGCTGGGAACCAAACACGGGTCCTCTATAAGTGGCTATGTTCGGCTAGGCAATGATGGTGCACGTCTTTAACCCCAGCACTCAGGAGGCAGAGACAGGCAGATCTCTCAGTTCAAGGCTAGCCTGGTCTACAGAGTGAGTTCCAGGACAGCTTCCAAAGCTACAGAGAAACTCTGTATTGAAAAACCAAACTAATAATAATAATAATAATAATAATAATAAATGACTATACTCTAAATGTTGAGAAATTCTCTCAGCCCATACACTAGTTTCTCAACCTATGTATTTGCCACCTTTAGGAGGGTCAAAGGACCCTTTATAGGGGTCGCCTGAGACCATAGGAAAACACTGACATTCACATTACAATTCATAATAGTAGCAAAATTACAGTTATGAAGTAGCAACAAAAATAACTTCGTGGTTGGGGGTTGGTCACATGAGAACTGTCTAAAGGGTCATAGCATTAGGAAAATTGAGAACCAGTACCCTAAACATTTTTATACCTAGATTAGTGCTGCTCTCATTCTTGATCAGAGGCTTCTCTTCGCAAAGAGCAGCAGTTAATAGGAGACTCAAATGGTCAAAAATATTTAGCCCTAAATGACATAGTTACAGCACACTCCTAGCCTCAAGAACATCACAGGAGGGGCGGGGTGAATGTTACACCCAGAGAGTAGGGAAGAGCGCTGTGAAATACAGTCATGTGGCTATTGTACACAAGATCAAGCCAGTGGAAATTCCATATAGATAGGGGAGGGGCTTGTAAGGCCCACCCTTAACTGAGGAACTACTGGCAAGATGGTTGCAGCAGAGAGCAGACTTATTTTCTTTGAAGTCTAGTTACCCATGATCCAATGGAGGGCTCCACACAAAAGCTCATATAGGTCACACACGATTTGAACTCATAGCTTGTGCATAAGTGTTTTCTCTGTGTGCCTCTTGTGTGTGCCTGGAGCTCATGGGATCTAGAAGATGACATCAGATCCCATGGAACTGGAGTCACGGTTGATTGTGAAGGGTGTTGGGAACTGAACCTGGGCTCTTAACCTCTGGGATAGCTCTCCATCCCAGGGCTATGTTCTTTTTAAGGGTATGAAGTTGAGAAAAGCTTGGAAGATGTGTTGGGGAAAGGCTGCAGGAAAGTCAGGAGGAAACAGATGACAGTGATGATCAAATGCACTCCATATATGCATGGAAATCTCAAAGAGCTGTTTGACATCACTATATTTTGTTTTATATACATATGTTTATACACACATTTATATGCATTATTTTCACACAATTTATGGGCCAGGAAGGAAAATGGCACAATGATAAATGGTGGGAAAAAAAACACCTCCTCCAAGTTGTCCTCTGTCCTCCACACACATGCTATGGCACCAAGTACAGGCACATAAGCATGTGAATAAAGTCTCCTGAGTGGAGTTTATACACTAACAGGGGAAGTGAAGGGACTGGAGAGATGGCTTCCAGCTCCCGCACAGGTGGCTCACAACTGCCTGCAAGGCCAGCTCTAGTTGCAAGGAATAGATCTTCTGGGCCTTGAGGGCACTAACACATGCACACTCATACCTCTGCTCCCTCTGCCCCCTCACAGATAGAATTAAAAATAACTTTTAAGAAACTAAAAGGTGGGGCTGGAGAGATGGCTCAGTGGTTAAGAACACTGGCTGCTCTTCCAGAGAACCTGAGTTCAATTCCCAGCAACTATATGATGGCTCACAGCATCTGTAATGAGATCTGGTGCCCTCTTCTGGCCTGCAGAGATACATGCAGACAGAACATTCTATATATGAAAATAAACCTAAAAAAAAAAAAAAAAAAGGAAAAAGAAAAAGAAAGAAACTAAAAGGTGCTTGAGGGTGCATTACTTGAGGCAGGACCAAGGCTCTCTCCACTGTATCTGGGCTAAACAAGGTAACTCTCCATAGGGAATGGAACCAAAAGCCACTAGAGATAAATACCCTGCTAGTGTCCCCACAAACTGCCCAAGCCACCTAACTGTCACCCACATTCAGAGGGCCTAGCTTGGTCTTATGTGGGTTCCCTAGCTGTCAGTCTGGAGCCCATGAGCTCCCCCCTTGTTCAGCTCAGCTGTCTCTGTGGTTTCTCCAGCCTGGTCTTGACTCCTTTGCTCATCACTCTCCCTCTCTGCAACTCGATTTCAGGAGTTTGTTTAGCTGTGGGTGTCTGCTTCTGCTTCCATCAGCTGCTGGATGAAGGTTCTAAATGGCACATAAGGTAGTCATCAATCTCATTATAGGGGAAGGGTATTTGGTAGCTTCTCCACTATTGCTTAGATTTTTATGGGTCATCCTTGTGGATCCCTGGGCATTTCCCTAGTGCCAGGTTTCTTATTGAGCCTACAATGGCTCCCTCTATTAAGGTATCTCTTTCCTTGCTCTCCTAGCCTTCCCCCAACTTGACCTCCTGGATCCCTCATGTTCTCCTCCCTGTGCTCCCAAATTTACTCAGACTTTGTCCCTCTCCCCTTCTCGGGGAGTCCATCTCTCTCTTAAGCTCCTCCTTGTTTCTTAGCTTCAGAGGTTGTGGGTTGTAGGCTGGTTATCCTTTGCTCTGTGTCTAATATCCACCCTCTCTGAGGAGTGGATGGGGCTTGGGATGGGGAGAAGGCAGGGAGAGTGGGAGGATGGGAGAGGGCACTGGGATTGGTGTGTAAATTAAGATTGTTTTTAAAATAAAAGGGAAAGAAAAAAAGAAACCTGAAGCTGCACCTTCACATGATGCTAACAAAGTTGTGATGAGGAGGCAGCATTGGGATGCTGACATTGTGATGCTGACCAAGAGGGATTTCACAGAATGAGAAATTCCAAGTGTAAAGCAGCTGATGCCTCCTGTCCTTTGGAAAGCTGAGGCAAAGATTGCTGGAGATTGAGACCAGTCTGGGTTGTATGGCATGTTCCAGGTCAGCAGATACCACACTCACAGCACAAAAACACCAAAACAGAAAAACAAAGCAAAAGCTCACACCAGGTCCAGTGAGGTGGTTCATCTGGTAAAGGCACTTGCCATCAAGTCTGAGATCTGACTTGGATTCCCAGGAACCAGGCAATTGAATAAGGGAGCCAACCCCATTTGTTCTGAGTTCCCCAAGTATTGTAGTACACACTAAAGAAATGTGACTGAAAAGTAAAATTTGGGGGCTTAGATATGGCTTGGTATTCAAGAGCAGTTGTTCTTGCAGAGGACCCTAATTCAACCACAAGTCTGCTCACAACCACCTGTAACTAACTCCATGTCTCATGTCTCACAAATCATCTATAAATTAGATAGAGTCTCACTCGGCAGCAATGGTTAGTAATTTAGAGCCACATGCAGGAATGGACCACCATACAAAATAAAAGTTCAAAACTTTTAAGGGACTAGAGAAATGCCTCAGTGGTTAAGAACACTAGCTGCTTTTGCAGAGGATGGTTAGTTTCCAGTACCCACATGGCAGCTCAGAACTCCATGGGATCTGATCCCCTCTTCCAGCCTCCATAGACACCAGGCATACTCAGGGTACAGCATACACACATGCAGGTAAGACACTCACACAGTTCCTTTTCCTCCTGTGTCAATCCCTTCAAAGTGCTTATGGACCCTTATGCCCTGAGTATCCCAGAGATTACCACAATCTCTAGATGGCAACCTTGGGTGCATGTATCTGCCACAACTAGCCACACACTTGAGATGTGATACATTCTCAAAAACCTTGGGCTGGGTGACACTTGAGGGGCAGAGAGGCAGGTGGATCTCTGTGAGTTCAAGTCCAGCCTGATCTACAGAGGAAGTTCCAGGACAGGTTCCAAAGATACAGAGAGACCATGTCTCAAAAAAAAAAAAAAATATGGAAGAGAATGTTATTGTTATCTTTAGTTTATTTCAGGGGGACATTCACAGCACTTTCTTAGGTTTAAAACTGTAAGCCATGTCAATCATGGAGATAGGAAAAGGCACATTTTACAATTTGGGAACATGACTTTTATAATCTCCATGCTAGGGAAACATCCTTATCTTGCTGGAATCCACACCCATGACACCAGTCAACAAACTTCCTCCCTCATCCTGAATCTAGCATCAACTAACTTTTACTTTTCCCTCTCAGCCTGCAGCGTCTGTGTTGTGGTGTGTCCTCTGACCAGACACCTGTCTTGTCTCCCTCCCAGCATCCACAAGCAAGCTTTTGGTAATTGCACACTAGTCAACGCCTCTGACACTTACACATCATGGTTTTGTTGTAGATGTATCGATTGTTGCATCTATAGCAGCGGTCAGTACCAAAATAGACCCTCCCTGGCTCCCTAATGGCTTTCAATATGTCCATAAGCTCATTGCAATGGTCACGTGTGCTTTGCCTATTGAGAGAGCCATTGTCTTCATAGCAATCCTGGGGAACAGGATACAGCTCCATCCTTAGGCGTTCCAAGCTGGCAGTGAGGCGTAGCAGTTTCTTCAGAGCATGCATGGAGATTTGGTTCCCATAGAAACTGAAGGTGGTAAGCTGGAGGCAGCGGCTCAGGGCAGGTAAGATGGCATAGAGATGTCGATCCTTAATGCGACAGTCCTCTAAGTTCAGGGCCACCAGGGTGGGTGCAGCTTTTACTAACAGAACTCGGAGGGGTTCTGGACTTAGACTGGTCAATCTGACATTTTCCAGACTCAGTTGCTGCAACTGACTGACACATGGCAACTTAGAAAGACGGTTCCACTCTGATGCTGAGACTGTACAGTGAGTCACTGCCAGGTCATTCAAGGGGGTCTTCAGGGACCTAAGGAGGAAAACAAACAAGAGAGTTAGTTCTTAGATGGCTAATACAGGAGATGACCAAGTAATGGCAGATCAGTACCCATGACTATTTACACACTGAAATCTGTACCAAGGCATGTCACCAACTGCACATCTTTCCCTCACTGTCAAGCTCGTCCCAAATGCTCGCTAGACTAGCAGGATACACACAGGAAGGACCAGAGATCAACCCAGGCAGGATGTGGCAATAGCCTTGTAGGACCCTATGTCCACCACACTCTCATGGGCATCTTCTCTTTCCCTTTCTCCGCTCCACCTCTGCATGTCTCCTTCAATCTCACTGCTCTGCATTTCCCACACAGGCTGAAAAGCATCAAAGCTGGTATGGTAACCAGCTGCAATGGCTAACATCTTTCATCCCAGCACTTGGAAGGCAGAAGCAGGTGGATCTTGAGTTGGGGGCCAGCCTGTCTCCATAGTAAGTCCCAGGACAGCCAGAATTACATAGCTAGATCCTGTCTCTGAGAAAAAAAAAAAAAGCTTGAGTATGGTGATCCACACCCATAATGTTGATACCTGGAAGCTGAGGACAATCTGGACAGCAAGTAGTGATGGTGTACACCTTTAAAACCAGCACTCGGGAGGCAGAGTCAGGCAGACCTCTGTGAGTTGAGGCCAGCCTACTTTACATAGCTAATTCCAGGATAGGGTCCAAAGCAATACAGAAAAACACTGTCCAAAAAAAAGAAAGAAAGGAAGGAAGGAAGGAAGAAAGAAAGAAAGAAAGAAAAGAAAGGAAGGAAGGAAGGAAGGAAGAAAGAGAGAGAGAGAGGCTGGAGCAATGGCTCAGTAATTAAGAGCATTTGCTGTTCTTGGAATGGATGTGGATTACAATTCTCAGCACCTACATGGTAGCTCAAAATCTCCTGAACCAGTAGCTAGGGATAAAACTGATGTCCTCTTCTAATCCCCATAGGTATCTAGCATGTGGTGTACAAACATACATTCAGACCCACACAAGTACATGTATAAAATATCAAGACATAAGCTCAGAAACTTCAGATATTATCAACTCTAAATCTGTGCTAACCTGACTGTAATCAAGCCAGGCAATGATTCATACTTCAGTTTGTCTGCAAGGGGAATGCCTGGTAAACACTCTAGGTCTTCACCCATTTCTGTAGGGTAAAGTAAAAAGCATCTTTTCAGTTAATAAAAGGAAAAAAAACCAAAACCAAGCCTTTCCTGGATGGGAACTTGTAGGCTGACTTCTGTGACCATACACATGGCTGCTGAGTAGAGCCCAGATAGAGAACTAATAATGCACAGAAGACATGCTTTTACCAATACCGTCTTGTCTCTTCCCTTAGTTGAACCACACTAGCTAAGTAAAGAAACAGAATCCACTCACTAGACCTCATTGCCTCATACAGCCTTCAACAACATGGATATCTTAGTTCATAAACCCCAGCTTAACCCTGACCCTTTGCAACAATGATTATGTGAGAGACCTGCCCCCAGGCCAGACATGAAACAATGCCTTGACATTTCTAATGCCTTGGCACTGTCAGTCACTAGTGGGTACATAAAGCAGGTGCCCACTAACGTAGTAAAGTAACAAGGCTTGGCTTTGCTCTGCAGAGCACGTCTTTACCTAAGCAGCTGGTGCAGGTGACCCTCAAAGAAGGCGGCAGTGTCCAGATGGAACTTCTGGAGGCACTCCAGGTTGAGGAGCTGTGAGGCAAACCCGGAGATGATATGCCTTCTCTCTTCTAAAGAGGCGATGTTCCCTTCATGGATGTTGGAGAGAGATAGCTCGCACAGCTTTGTCATGTGGCCCAGGTAAGAAGCCAAGTTAAGAAAGAAGGCTGGATCGCGGAGGGAATGCAGGCCCAGTATTTCTATATACTGCAGGTTCACACATTCCAAGAGATACTTGCAGATGGAGAGGGATGGTAACCAAATCTGAAGTTCATAGCAGTACAGCTGCAACAAGCCTTTCCTCTTCTCAGCCCACTGAGAGAGGTAGAGCAGCTTGTTAAGTTGCTCATCCCTGAGATACAAGTTCACTGCCACCTTCAAGGGCTGCGTCCGTCCCTCAGTCGCACTTGAGGTCTGTGGTAACCAGCTATCTATGGGCCCAGACCACACATCCAAATAGCTCTGACCCACAGACCGTAAATCCAACACTTCTAGTTTGTACTCCCTGTGGAGAAAACAAAAGAGCTTCAGCTGCTAGGCAAGGATACAATATCTACATTGGTTTTTTTTGGGGGGGGGTTGTTTGTTTGTTTTGTTGTTGTTTTTTCGAGACAGGGTTTCTTCTCTGTGGCTTTGGAGGCTGCCCTGGAACTAGCTCTTGTAGAATCAGAGATCCGCCTGCCTCTGCTGGGATCAAAGAAAGGCGTGTGCTACCATGGCCTGGCCTAGGCTGTATTTTTATTCCAGCCCTGAAGTTGGCCTTCCATTCTCTATGATCTTACTTTTTTTTTTTACATGGCCTTCAATAAGCCCGTCCCTGTCCCACTTCTAGTACTCAAGGGAAGCAGGGGCTATATCCCTCTGCCCTGCTATACCCACCATGATCCCTGCACACTCCACAGCCCTTTCCCAGATGGCTCAGCAATGGCCAAAGCCTCTGTAGTTCTCCAAGTTGATGCCATCAGCAATCTCGCCCTCCTTGCCTGTCTTCCCCACCTGACTTCCAGACACTCTGGGCTTCCCTCCCAGGACACCTGAGTCTTCCTTACTTGGGGCGAACCTTCTGGATAAGCAGCTTATCAACCTCCTCTAGGACATAGTATTCTTGGGAGTCCCAGGCATTTCTCCTCTTCAGAGCTCCCAGAGGGAGTCGAGGGAAGGGCCAGGAAGACACTATTTTCCTCAGGACATTAACACGACTGTCTTCATAAGCTTGCTTCAGTAGTTGAGGGAAAAATACTATGGGTAATTTCTCCAAAGCAGAGATAGCCAAGTCCTCATTTCTCAAAAGGCTCCTCCCAGCCAGTTCCTGGAGTGTGGGTAGGTCCTTGCTGTTCATCTTGGTGGATCTTCAGGGAGAAAGATCCCAGAGAAGCATCTAGAAAAAGACATCTATAGTTTCATGTTAATGTTTAGAGGGCCCTTCTCGCTCACCTCAGAAACACAGAGCCACAATCACAGCTCATTCCACACCCTGTTCCATTGATCCACAGATCCACACTACATTCTCACCCATTCCCAACCAACACTGCATTCCACTCCCAGTGCCAAGTGAGTTCTGAGGACCCTACCCTGGAGGCTAACTCCAGGATAATTCCTGGGGTAGGGTAGGTTTTTTTTTTTTTCTCCCTCAGCTACTACTATATTACTGGGAGTAGTGGCACAGGCCTGAAATCCTAGTACCCAAAATATGAGATCTGGGACTAGAGAGAGATGACTGAGCAGTTAAGAGCACTTCAAATGTCAGCTCACACACAACCCCCTGTAACTCCAGTTCCAGGGAATCTTAACACCCTTTTCTAACCTCCCTACCAGTAGGCACACACATGGTGCACATATGTACATATAGGCAAACATTCCAAACATTCATACACACACACATATAAGTTAAACTCATGTATGGTGGTGTACATACAGGGTTTCTCTGTATTGCTTTGGAGTCTGTCCTGGAACTAGCTCTGTAGACCAGACTGGGCTTGAACTCACAGAGACCCACCTGCTTCTGCCTCCCGAATGGTGGGACTAAAGGTGTGTGTCACCAACACCTGGCATGGTGGTATATATCTTTAACCCCAGGGAGCTCAAAACATTTGGGATCTGAGATTAATGCCAAAATGGTCTCCATAGGGGAGCTGAAGTAGCGATTAAAGACATCTGTGAGTTCAAGGCCAGCCTCATCTACAGAGTGAGTTCCAGCACAGCCAGGGCTAGTCTCAATCAAATGCAGGGAAATCTTCCTTCCTCACTCAGCCTCATGAACTGGTATTACAGGCAAGCAGTACAGCTAATGTGTAAATTTTTCATTAAAATGTACAGAAAGCTGTCTGGGCAGTGATGACACACACCTTAGTGCCAGGCAGACGTCTGAGTTTGAGGCCAGTCTGATCTACAGAGTGAGTTCCAGGACAGGCTCCAAAGCTACAGAGAAAATCCTGCCTGGGAAAAAATTCTGAAAACTGCCAGGTGTGATAGCCTTTAATCTCAGCCCTCAGGAGGTAAAGGCAGAAGGATTGTTTGAGGCCAGCATGGTCTACATATAGAATTCCAGGCCAGGACGGCATAAAGAAGACCCTGTCTAAAAATAATTTTTAAAAAATGTACAGAAGATTTTAGGCCTACATTTTCAATGTTTAATTTTTTGGTTCTGAGAAATACAATACCGCACTACCAAGCTTTATACCCCCACACTTTAAACTACATATCATTACTATCACTATTAAGACAGGGTCTCTGTTGTGTGTAACATATAAAATAAAAGACCCAGAGACTGATATTAGGGTTCACATTTCAAACTGTGTTGGGGCAAGCCTCTAACCCCAGCACTTGGGAAGCAGAGGCAGTTGAATCACTGAGTTTGAGGATAGTCTGATCTTACAGAGTAAGTTCCAGGACAGCCAGGCATCATATCAATGCCTACCTTTATAACCCTAACACTGGTGAAGCCAGCAGATAATGAGTTCAAGGCTAGCCGGATCTCTACAAATCTATAGTGAATGAATTCCATTCTGGCTATATAGCAAGACTCAGGCAAAAAAAAAAAAAAAAAAAAAAAAGACAGACAGACAAACAAAAAAATTAGGCCGGATTCCAGCTCTCGGGAGGCCGAGGCACCTCCAAAGCTACAGAGAAACTCAGTCTGAAAAAACAAAAACAAAAACAAACAAACAAAATTAGGCTGGGAATGTGGCTCAGTAATGGAGCAATTGCCTAGGATGAGCAAGCCTATGGCCAAGCCTGTTGTATGAACTTTTCCCTGGAGAAATATGAACAAATAAGTCCTCACCCCAGGTAAAACACTAGTACTGTTAAGCTTCCCATCCATGTCCAGCTTGGTCAGCCAATGAGTTGATCATATTTTTCATACAGGATCATGGGTGAGGGCTTACTTACAGGAGCTTAAGTACCCAAAAGAGTCAGTCTCACCCCAGCATGATGTCTCTGTACCTCTTAGATGGAGTCCTTCCTTTTCAGCTAATTTTCTACCTCCAAGTCTCCTCGGACCAGCAGTTGGGGAACAATTATATACAGCTGGAGTGGGGGCATAGGCGGTAGGTGGCACCACCTCCTATGATGTTAGGTCAATAGGCATGATCAGCTGCTCTGATGAAGACATTAATGGCTCTTAGGGACCAGAGAATATTACATAACATAGACTTACTACTTTTTTGGTTTCAAGGTAAGAGTCTTCCTGAGTAGTTTGGGCTGGACTCTAAATCATATCTTTTTGTTTTGGTTTGGTTTTTGCTTTGGTTTGTTTTTCGAGACAGGGTGTATCTGTATTGTTTTGGAGCCTGTCCTGGAACTTGGCTCTGTAGACCAGGCTGGCCTTGAACTCAAGAGATCTGCCTGCCTCTGCCTCCCCAGTGCTGGGATTAAAGGCGTGCGCCACCAACGCCTGGTTTAAATCATACCATTCTTCTTGCCTCAGTTTCCCAAGTTTACAGGCCTGTGCCAACATTTTAACTTACAGTTTAAAATCTTTTAATATAAATAGCCAGGCATGGTGGTGCATGCCATTAAACCCAGCTCTCTGGAGGCAAAAGCAGGAAGATCTCATTGAGGCTAGCCTGGTGCACATACTGAGTTCTAGGACAACCAGAGCTATGTAGAGACCCAAGTCTCAAACAAAACAAAAACCTAAATCTTAATGTAAAATAAGTACAAAACAAAATTAAAATCTTAGTCAAGGCTGTGCATGTTCATAAAGGGCCTGAACCGAGAGGGGTACTGTTTGCTGCTGATATGTTTGAGGCCAGCCAGGGCTACACAGTTGACACCTTGTCTCAAAAAGGTGGTGGCCATGGAGCCGGCTGTTTTCCCCAAGGACTAGGGTTGAATTCTAGGCACCCACATGATAGCTCACAACTTTGGTTCTAGGCAACGCTTTTTTCTAGGCTTCAAAGTCACAAGGTATTTTATAAACATGACACATAGTATAGGCAAAACACCCATTGTGAGCTCCAGGACAACCCTGGGATACATAAAATTTGTCTCAAAACAAGGAAAACATTCTGTCCATCTAAGTGTCTGAATCAGAGCCAGGAGGTGGTGGCGCATGCCTTTAATCCCAACACTCCAGAGGCAAAGGCAGGAGGATCTCTGTAGTTTGAAGCCAGCCTGGTCTACAAATTAAGTTCCAGAGAGCCAGGGCTATTGGACAGAGAAACCCTTTCCCCCCCATCCACCCCCAAAAATGGAGTCCGAATCAGAGACTAATATATCAAGGTACATGCCAAGTCAAGATTCTAGTGGCACATTTCTCATGGCTACTAGAAACTGGCTGTATGGAACACTGAGACCTTCCGATGCTCAGACTAGCCCAGGGCTAGCAACAAAGCAGAGATATGTCAATTGAGGTGAGCAACTTACCAGATGTGAGAGAGCTTCCTAGCCAAGTTGGTCCAAGTGTGACTCCAAGCTCCCAAACAGTGTCTTCTCTGGCTCCCCTAGAGCTTTTATGCCGGTCACCACAAGCCTCCCCTTCAGGGCTGGAGCTCCTAAAGGAACTGCTGCTATCTACTTAGATGTTTGAAACTCCGCCCAGTAGTCCTGCTGAGGAGTTTGTCTTTCCTTGTATTGGGTGATTGAAATGTAAAAAAATACTTAATGAAATTCAAGGGCCATTTGTGAATTCACTCCACAGACATTGACACTTGTCACTGAATGAGTTCCATTGGGCAGAGAAACAGCAAAGGCTATGTTCTGTTTCTCGACACGAACTGACAAACAAACAAACAAAAACACCAGACATGGAGGCACAGGCCTGTAGCCTGGGATGTGAAAACTGGGGTTTTAGGAGTTTGAAGCTTGCCTAAACTACACAGTAAGGACCAGCCTGGGTTACATGAGACCCTGTCTCAAAAACAGGGCCAGGAAGATGGCACAACAGGTAAAGGCACTTTATGCCAAGCCTGATTACCTGAGTTGGAATCACATGGTACAAAAAGAAAAACAAACAATTCCTTTAAATAGAAATAGGTAGCGAGGCTGGGAGGTGGTGGCTCAAGCCTTTAATCCCAGGCGGATCTCTGAGTTCGTAGGCCAGCCTGGTCTACAGAGTTCCAGGACAGCCAGAGCTACATAGAGATACCCTGTGTGGGAAAAAATTAAAAGTTGATTCTTTTGGACTTGGTTTTAGATTTTACTAGGGTATAATGTTTTAAAATGGTGAAGGCAGGGATGGGTTGTGGCTCTGTGTTGGAGCTCTCCACCAGCACACCTGTGGTCCCTAGCGCTACTCCCTAGCTTCACAAAGGAAATATTCAAATTATATATTTCACAATGACGTGTGAAAGACTTTGTGTAATATACTCACTTTCAAAACTGGGCAATCTGTACACAGTTGAGGGAAACAGGGAAATGTGGGGGGGGGGGTGCTGGATAGAAGGATGGGATGCCAGCACTGACTGTTCTTGCAGGAAGGCATTAAGTGTGTTTGGTTGCCAACATCCACATCATGGCTCCCAAATGTCCATAATTCCAGTTCCAGGGGATCTGATGCCTCGTCATTGTGTATACACATTGTACATACATACACTCAGGCATATACACATAAAAACAAATTCACATTTAAAAAATAGTAAAGTCAACGCCCATGTACCTACCCACCGCAAGGACAATGATGTCCCCATTCTTCTCCTGCAATCCCAGATTCCTTCCTTTTCTTTCTTGTTCAAAATGAGATTTCTCTGTGCAGCCCTGGCTGTCCTGTAACTCTGAACACCAGGCTTACCTCCAACACAGAGATCTACCTATTTCTCCTCCCAAGTGCTCCAAGGCACCAACACACCCAGTTGTCTTTTCTGACCAGTTATATAAATGACAAAGAAGAATTCAAGATAGGATTAAGGGTTGAATGACCACCAGGAATGCAAGATTGCCTTAA